TTTTCTTCCCATTTACAGTCAGACTCTGAATGAGCAAATGCCTCCAGCCAGCCATAGAGCTCTGAGGCCAGCTTCTCTTCCACTTCATTCTTTTAAAGAAATCACCCAATTACAGACGCAAAGGAAAGAAAACAAACCCACACACTCCTGTCCCACCCACACGCTGGGGCACATCTCTAGCCAGCTCTCTCACAGATGGCACTTCACAGCAGCTGAAGGGACAGGAACTCAGGGCTGACAGCATAAGCACTTGACACTTGAGCCAAAGGATTTCTTTGCCCTGTGAGCGGTAGGGAGGCTCACACACATGATTTGGTCAGTCTGACTCTGTCCAGTAGAGGGCAGAGATAACACATCAGTACAACACAGCCCCAACAACCAACAGCTCAACATCTACATGGGTTGTCTTAACTTTGACCATAACAGAAGCCAGCATACAAAACCACAAAGAACAATAAAAGATTAAGGATGAAAATCAAGTAAGTCAAAAGAAGAAACTACTTCACCTGTGGCAATTTTGCAGTTCTTGGAACTAATGTAAACTACTGCATTTAAACCATTTTAAACCCCTCACTGCTATTCTTTAAAAAGAACATTCCTTTAAAATCTCTGGGCAAATCAGCAGTAACACATGCCTGCTCCATGGTAATGATAACAGTAGGCAGCTGTCAATCCTTCTGGATTATGGTGTATGCATGAGAGGGCACCAGTACCTTTGACATGTATGCCTAGGCAAAAGCATGGAGGAGTGGAGGCTGCTCTGACTTTCCATCCCCCTTTATGCCATTGAGACAGTATCTGAAGGCCAGACTGAGTCCCAACATTCAGTGCCTCAGTGGCTGCAGTTATATGCATGTCCAGAAATCAAACCTGGGTCTCACACATGGCAGACAAGGATTCTACCACTGAAACTGAACACAGGTGGTAGGTGATTAGATAACAGTAAATTGAATCATGTCAAATTGGACAGGGCTGGAAACCAGGCCAATCCCTCTGAAGTCAACAGGGGCTGTATCCATTTAATCTGGAGTGGAAGGATGGCTGAGTAGAGCCCCTGGTAAGACGGGCAAGGAAGTGCATGCTTTCCCCACACCCCACTAGACACATCTCCATCCTGCTATTAAATTCCCAAGGACACTGCCAGACATTCCAAACGTTGGAGCTGTTCTGCAGTGAGGACAGGCTGTGGTTAAGGTACTGAGCCAAGACCCTGGGGATAATGTCCAACTCCCAGCTCTGCTACAAGCTTCCTGTTTTGCTTTGGCTTGGTCACTTTGAGCACATCTACGCAGCAGCAGGGCTGTGTCTGGGAGCCCCACCATGCAGCATTCTCAAAATGACACTTGAGACATCTCAGAACACCTCTGAACATATGCCAGGAAGCAGGCCTGAGGCAGAGAGCCTAGAGCAGTACTGAACAGGTGCTCTGAGCCCCTCAAAGGTAGCTTCATTTCCAGGAACTGGCATGTGTGGAGCAGAAGAGAGCAGATGGGGACTGCACCACAGAAGAGCTCATGAAACGAACATGGTGGCCACATAGACCTCTGCATGCTTCAGCATCCCCACCTCTAAAATGGAGATAAAATACTCCTTCCCAGCCATCCCATGACTCATTAGTCTATTTAGACTGCAAGTGTCCTGGGGCACAGACTCTTCCTCATTATGTCTGTACATTGCTTAGCACAAAGGGACTACAGCCATAAGACAAGAAGTGAATAATAAAGTGGACAACAGCCATTAGCACCTCTACTCACTGGCCTGAGGCCTCAAAAGGAAACCCACAACACAGGGTTTCATGATTCTGCCAACCCACAGCATCCAGAAAGTAGGAGACTGGTTTAAACAGTGTAAGATTTAATATTAATAAATAAACCTTTGGGTTTTTTAATTCCCAGCTGTTTTTTTAAGCCTTTAGGGTCATGTTTTCTAGCTTTTCTCTATAAGCACAGGCTTTAGAAGCGTTTTTTGTTTGTTTTTTTTAAACGGAGCTGACATGCTCAAGCCATCATATGACTCCTGAACCTGGAGAGCTTCATGGACATCACCAAACAGCACCACAACTGCAACAAAATCACAAGACCGGACAGCACACGTAAAATAGTGCTCTTCCCTCCAAGTCAGCCATAATGCTCCAGCACCATGCACTGTGCTGCTGGAAGGGTAAATGATAGGAGGCAAATGACAGGTCCTAGGACACATGGTTGTTTAAGTTCCCCTGGTCCATTCCACCAAAATAGAGTGCCAAGCTGACATGGCCAATTATATTCTATCCTGCCTAAATTCCATTTCTTCCTTCACATCAGTGCAATATTTATTCTCACTTCCTGTGTGGTGCATAATGCTCCACAAGCAGTCAGTCAATCTGAAACACAAACAGGATGTTTCCCAAGTGGTCCATGCAGCCACCACAGAAATTCCTTTATTTGTACAGGTACATAACATAGACAGTAAATGATATCATTCTGCACATACACACATTATCTGTAGGTATATATATTGCACTTAGCCATACACACAGGTAAATGTACTCTTTGTTTCTTTGAATCTGTAGCAAGAAGCCAAAAAGGTAGGGTGAGCTTAGGAAGTTTCTAGGCAGAGATTTATACAAAGGAACTTCAGGGGTAGTACAGCTTTCCTTATTCCTTGTTCAGTGTCAGAGAAAAATTACTTCTAACATGGCCCCTCTATGGTCACACAATAGTTACCAGCCATTTCCCCTTTAAGGATCTCATACACAATCCCCTACATTTGCTCAGTTATTCTGTTTAACTGGGACCTTCCTTTCTGATCAGACAGCTGGATACCTTGTAAAAGCCTCCTCAGAGCCAGATCCTTGAACAGAAGCTAAAGCTAAGATATGGCCTTTAACATTACCTACTCACTTTCAAAGGGAGAGACATTCAGGAGAGGTCAACTTAGTATAACTACCCAAGGAAAATCTAAACTGGAACTATCATTTGGAGACCTGACTGGAGTCCCTCCTCTCAAATCTCCCTGTCCTGCAACATGTTTGGCTGTTAGAAGTCTATTTGTTTAAGGAGATGAGCAACAGGCTTCATGCTGAGCCAGTTTTTCTAGTAACATGTCACAATGATGGATCCCTCTCCTCTGTAGTTATCAGTCCATCAGTCTTGCATTTCCATACCACAGGAGACAGCACTGGGATTTTAACAGCAAAGGCAGTGGGCCTAACACTCATGTTTATACAAGCTTCATTGCCTGAGCCCCTGTTCTTTCATTGTCTCATGTCTAATCTCCCTACTCAGCTTTTGCTGTATATACCGTAATCTGAAGCTGACTGTTTAAATCCCAGCCTAGTCAGGCATCAGAGGTCAATGAAGGTAGTGCGGACGGGAAAGCCAAGAAGCTCTGGGCTCTGACATGTTGAAGCAGAGTGAAAGCTCCATGGTTAAGGCAGGAATCAAGGCTAGAATCCATGTCCAGGGGCTGGGGAATCCAATCTGCGTAGCTTCTCCTCCCAGTGTCTGTACAGCACTTAGAGGATCTGTGTGCTGTTGGCCCAAATGTTATTAGCCAAAGTCTATCCATAAGGACAGTGAGGCATGGTCCATCTGGGTTTAGGTGGCCCATTGGGCCAATGACAAATGAGACAGTGATATGGCTGAAGGTGGTCTTACAGTTACCTGGGGACAAGTTTCAGGCCAGTCTGAAACAGCGTCTGAGTTAGTCCTACCCCCTCACTGACACACACCCCTAGAGACAAACTAAACTAAGAGGGCCTCTGACCTACTCTCAAGTGGCTCTCCCCACATCCCTATACGATATGCCTATATGACACCTTACAGAAGGAAATATCAGAAGTGCACTGCATCTTAGCCAGTACCACTCTCTCTCCAGCCCTCTCCACACCACAGCTTCCTCCAGCCATTCTCCTCAAACTGCCAGCTTCCCAAATGGGCCCAGAGAGACTCACTGCTACGAGGAAAACACCTCAGCTATGTTGTGTAGGGGGGTGAAGGGGACAAGGACAACAGGCAGACACATTCTTGCACACCTATAAGCCACAGTGCATCTCACAGAAATATTGGACTGAAGACTACAGAGCCTTGTTTGGAGCTACAAAAACCTCCCAGAACCTCTGCCCCAAGTCTAAACATACGTCCAGCTGAAAGGCACCACCTCTGAAAATACATGATAAAAAGTGGCTCTGAGAGAAGACGAGAGGGGACAGGATAACTGAGCTGTTGATAGCACAGTGCAGACACTATTCAATTGGGAGGGGTAAAGGAAACAGAAGCCTGAGAAAAGAAAGAAAAGAGGAGTTGGATTAACTATGCAGGGCACTGCGGCAGCACAGGCAGCATTAAACCTGAGACAGTTTGGCTGGCTGCTCTCAGAGAGATTGAGCTTTTCTTCATCAGGCTTGGATTTCTGGCCAGAAATATAATTTCTCCTTGTTTAAGGGAACCCCACAATTAGTGCATTTTCAGAAATATTTTATGCAACTCTAAGTAGTATTCACAGAAGGCAGAGCAGAGTTGCACCTTATAGACTAACTAATTCAGAGCTACATAAACTAGCACTGGTCACCTCATCACAAAGCTGATAATGAGAAGTGGAGAAAAGTCAGAGAAAAGAATCAAGAATGAGAAGGGTTCTAGAAGATTCTCTTATGAAAAGCAACTAGAAAGAGTAACGCTATTTAACTCAGAAGAAATGAAGAGCATGGGATGTGGCAAAAGTACATAAACAATTAGTGGGGTGAAGAGCGTTCCCAATCTCACAATCCAAGAACAAAAGGGCACTTAACACAAGCGAAAGGCAGCAAATCCAGCCCCAACAAAAGTAGAGTTGTTCATGCAACACAGCCAGTGGCGCTCCTTTCCAAAGAGTGTCACTGATGTCATTCAAAAAGGGCTTGGACTCCAATATAAGCAAAATTATCCAGAGCTATAACTGTCAATGCAAACCAATAATTCTGGAAGGGATAAAAACCTCAAGCTTTGTGCCGAAATCCTGGGATTAAGATAAACCCTTACCTGACAGTCATGGAGCTCTGGTACCTTCCTATTTCTTCTGCACATCATTTTCAAGTGTCCCCTTTTGCCAGTATTGTATTCCAGAGCCCCTTCAAAACGCTGACAGTTTGGCAATGGCTGAGAAAGGAAGAAATGTGCTTTGTTCATGTGTGATTGCTAACGTGAGTTCAAAAAGTACCTGTTTCCTAGTGAAGGCATACGAAAGTGCTGCCCTCTTGCTGGACACATGTGACTGAGCCAACATGTTTAAGAAAGAGTCCCACTGTATGCTCCTAACAGGGACTTTACACAGTTCACACAGCAATGACATCTACCACCTGCACCAGGGCTGTTGTAGAGGGACTTGAGATTCCTGGGGCCTGGTGGGTACTGGTCTCTATACCCAGGGGTCAGCGATTGCTTGGCAAGCAGTAACCCTCCCTGATGGTGACAGCATCCCCCCCCGATACAAACATTTTATTCACTTTCCTGTGAAGCCTTCGAGATGGGCCACAGCTAGAGAAGGGAAATGGGTCAGCAGGGTGCACCAGTGCTCCCAGCAGTGCTGGCTCTCCTGCCTGTTGGGTGCCTGGCTGGAGGGTCTCGCTCACACACCTGAGATTTAGGCAATCACCAGCTTTGGGGCAGAAAGGCACATTCCTTCCAGGCCCGAGGTCCCGCCTGCAGCCACATGGGCACGTCTGATGCCTGGGCTGCAGCACCCTGCCAGCCGCGGGCTGTGGCTCTCTGAGCCTCTGGGGCTTGACAAGGCTGTGGCCCCAGCTGGGCAGAGCCCTAACACCCTGGGGGGCTGCTACAGGCAAGGGGCGCCAGGACCCCACTTCCTACAAGACCCTCAGGATAGATAACCTGGCTTCCCCCCACTCCCCCGTCCCAGCAGGACACCCACCGGCTCTGCCCAGAGCCAGGTCCGCAGCTTCAGGCCTGGGGCAGGGCTCGGGTGTGATGCGCGGGCTGCAGGAGCCCGTAGCGCAAGGCCCCCGAGCCGGCCTCCGCCCCCGGCAGCGGAACCAACGTTCCCGGCACGGGTTCTCCGCGGACCCCATTACGCGCCGGGCCCGGCCGGAGCCTTGTCCCGCCCGCCCCTCGCAGCGTCATTGCGGCTGCTGCAGAGAGCGGCGCGGAGCATTGTGGGACCCAGGCAGGTGCCTTTGTCTGGCTGGGCGGTTGTTTTCGGGCGGGAGGGGAGGCCTGAGTTAAAGGGGCCGCGCCGGGAAGGGTTGGGGCCTTGTGGCGGGGCCGGCTGCTCCCTGCGGGGCGTAGGCGTGGGGAGGGCGCCCGGACCCTAGACAGACCCTCAGATGCATGGGGGAGGAGGCCTGGTGGGTAGAGATGCAGCTCTGCCCTGGGCAATCTGGACTCAGTCACTGACTGCCTCATGCCTCAGTTTCCCTCTCTACCAAGTGGGGCATCTCCGATGGGGTCCACATGCCGGGCCCCGCGCCCCTTTGGGCCACGCTTTGCATGTCCCAGGTGTGGCTCACGCACAGCGCTGGGGAAGCAGTAGCCTCATGTATATTTCCCATCCTGTGTTTCTGCAGACATGGACCTTGATGACCTGGAGGAGCAAGCAGCGGTGCTGCAAGGAAGGCCTGTTGGTGGCTGGGGCCTGGTGCAGCTCGCAGCCGGCACAGGCTTTGCTGCCTATGTTATGTGGGCAGGAGTCCTCATGCCCGGCTTCCGCAAGGTTCCTTTAAAGCTACAGGTAGAGAGTTCGCCAAGGCTTCTCAGATGGGTTTGACTTGGCCTTGCAGAGGAGGCAGCAAATGATGTCCTGGGAGGAGGGAAGAAGGACTTGGCTTGTTCTGTGATGTGCTTCTTGTCCCCAGTGCAGCGTGCCAGCGTTCCTTGGAAGCTGAACAAACCCATTCCTACTGCAGTGTTTCCCTTCTGTTACATGCACATGTGCTGATTTATTACAGGGCTGTTCATGAGCTGTGGCCTCCTAGCACAGATATGGAAAGCATATGCTGTAGAAAATAAACTATGCTGGAATTGCAGGAAGGGGCAGGGAAGAGAGAGGTCTTGTGTTATTAATCCTGGCATTCACATGGGATGTACCCCACATTCCTGAAGTGCAGCTGCCTTTGGGGTGAAAGAAAACAACCAACAACCTGCACAAGAGACTGAGAAAGGGGAGGAACTCAGGCTAAGGACGGAGGTGTAAATCCTTACTGCTGTCAAACAGGCTGTGAGATCTTTAATCTTCTGTAAGGTCTTGGGGCCCAATTTTATTGAGGGATCCCAACTTCCATGAAAGTCAGTGGGAGCTGAGGCAATACCTAATTGAACTGTTCTTAAGACTTGGTGCTCAATTTCTCTCCTGAAGGCTGTGTCCTGCCTGATGAGATTTTCATCCTCGTAAATTAAATTCTCTGTCTCCTCCTGAGGCAGTTATCTGACCAAGTACTAACATCTAGAGCAAACACTGTGGTATTTTGCTCTGCTCAGTGACTGGTGTAAAACATCTATCTACTTAATAGGACAACAGCAAGGAATACTTGCATAAGCAAGTTGCTTTGGCATAGATTTTTTGGGAGGAAATGTTTGAATATATATCACTACGGGCTTCCAAACAGTCTCTCTTGAAAATAGATGGGTTTCATGGTGGGGAATGATTTAACAGTCTAAATGCAGGACCTTCCTTCATTTGACTCTTAGGCTACAAACAGATATCACATTTGTCCCCAGGTAAAGCATTTTATCCCAGGACAAAATGCAGTTGTTTTGACACCTATGTCCATTGTCCTGGGATAAATCCTAAAAAGGTTCATGAGATAAGTAGCAACATGTTATCCCAGAACATCTCAAAATACATCTGAACAGTTCTCTCACAATTATGCATCATTTAATGTCAGAAAAGCATCCAGGGTATAGGTTGTATCCATGTTGGTCTAAGGACATGGGCAGACAAGGTTCTTTGGGTAAATCTAATATCTTTTATTAGGCCAACTCAAGTAGTTGAAAAAAAATCTTCTTTGCAAGCTTTTGGGTATAAATACCCTTAGTCAGGCTGAGGAATAGTCTTCAGTTGGTCTGTGCTCTTCCTAGATGGAAAACTTGGTCTGTGCTCTTCCTGAATAGACCAACTGAAGATGATTCCTGAGCCTAAGGGTATTTGTACCAAAACTTGCAAAGAATTTTTTCCAACTATTTGAGTTGGTCTAATAAAAGATATCAGATTTACCCAAAGATCCTTGTCAGAAAAGCATTAATGCCTTCAGTCGCTCACTAAAACCTGATTAGAAGGGTGATGCATGTGCATGCCAATCCCAGCATATTTCTGCTCCAGGACAGACACAGGCACACCTTGTCCAGGGACAAATGCAACATCTGTTCCTAGCCTTAGTTAACTTATGACAGCTCTCACAGACTGCAGTGAGTCACTTAGCCTCTGTTCTGCTACACACCATTTATTAGATGGAAGTATTACCTGCCATGGAGTTGGGTGAGGTGGCATAGTAGTCAAGATGTTTTACTATGGCTTCAGAGCATGGGTGCATGACTCAGACCTTATTAAGGGCCACTTCCAAGTTGCATTTTCCAGTGGAGGACCACCAGCTTACTACAGTCTTGTCTGCACATCAGGCCACTAATATTAATTTTTACAAGAAATAATGGCCACAAGCTAGCAGAGAGCAGATTTAGACTGGACATTAGGAAGAACTTCTTCACAGTTAGAGTGGCCAAGGTCTGGAACGGGCTCCCAAGGGAGGTGGTGCTCTCCCCTACCCTGGGGGGTCTTCAAGAGGAGGTTGGATAGGCATCTAGCTGGGGTCATCTAGACCCAGCCCTCTTTCCTGCCTATGCAGGGGGTCGGACTCGATGATCTATTGAGGTCCCTTCCAACCCTAACATCTATGAATCTATAAGTGGGCTGCATGTTGTGCATTCCAGGCTTCTGAGGCATGAGTGTGAACCCCACTCTGGACTCGTGCCAAAGACTACCTCCCAATCAACTCAGCTGTAAATGGCTATATACTTGGGCTGGGGAGTCAAAGGTGGCTGGAAGTAGTGCTGGCCATATTACTTCCTTGTGTGCTGTTGGCCAGATAAATTGTGCCTCAGCCACAGATGAACAGCTCAGCTAGGAGGAGGTGGGGAATACTCTGACCTTCCAGGGAAGCTTATTGTCTACTTTGGCTTAAACAAAGGCTGAAGATCAGGGGTTTCATCAAAGCTCCACAGCTCCATCATTTACACCAGCTGAGGATCTGGTCTCTAATTTCTTAGTTTAGTAGCTAAGGGACTTGAAACAACAGCTGTAAATTGACCAGCATCTCTGGATCTTAGTCTCTGATCTTGTGCTGTGTTCTCACATTCAGGCAGAATGATCATGAAGGTAACAGAAATGCAGCTTGTGGCCCTCCTTGACTTCCCCTTATGGTCCTGACCTGCAGTCAAATCCACATGGGCAGGTCACTGTGCCTGTGTGGAAAGCTAGCGAAGTCAGTTGGGCTCTATACAGACACATTGGTGTACCTGTACAGATATAGGGCCGGGGCTAGGTTTGTAATGGACGTGCAGCCTACAGACATGTGGAACTAGATGTCTTAGGACATCATGCTCTATAAGATGCTTTACTGACTCCTGTGGTGTTCACCACCACTGAAATCCAGCAGGGAAACTCATGTCTGAATTGGACTCATTTCTCATTTCTCTGAACTAGGTGCCATATTTGCCATCAAGTGCCCAGCAAGTTGCCAATACGATGTCACTGCTGAAAGGACGCTCCGGAAAGATGGTGGATCTAGGGTCCGGCGACGGCCGACTTGTAAGAGAGGAAAAATTCCTTCTCTGGGGTAGTCAAAGCTGTCAGCTGTGAACAGAGAGCTGATACTGGTTAGGTGGATCCAGCATGGCCTAGCATCCCCTACACATAGTCTTTGGGACCGGATCCTGATTTCTGTTATGGAAGTGTAGGTAGAGTAACTGCAGTTGAATTGCACTAGTTTATCCCAGTGTAACAGAGCAAGTGTTACCCGTCCGACTGGTTCCTTCAGGGCTACTGCTATGGCCCATTATCTACAAAGACTCCCCAGGGCTGCAGAACAGCTGGGCGTTGCTCAACAAGGAGCTTTACCTACCTCTTCCCTGGACTGATGGAATCTGGGACCGGAATAGTGAAGCCCCAGGGTTGTTGCTCGTGTGCTGTTGCCTAGGACTCCTAAGACGGGTGGGTGGTCTGGAGCCCCACATCTCCCTGACAACCAGAGCAGGGCAGTCCCTTGCATGTTGACTGGGCGTGCCAGTCGGCCTCAGACTTGTATTCCCAACCAGAGTACTCCTGGCTTTTTGTCCTCTGCTGAAGTCTACAAGGTGCTGACTCCTGTGAGGCTCAGAGTATGCTCCTCTGTCACTCCAATCAGTGAAGTTTAAAACTCATCTCTTCAAAAACACAAGCTTGTTTCTCTTTCCACTGTCTCCTGCCTTCCTACCTAGACCTTATACCTCTTGCACTGACATCTGCTGATTAACTACCTGTTACCTTCTTTTCTTTTTCCTTTCAAAGGTAGACTTGTTCTCTATGGCCAGCCCTATCATCCCATTTAGGGGTGCACTGATAAGAGATTTTGGGGGCCAATACTGATAGCCAATTTTTGAGGAGGCATATTGGCCAATACCGATCCAATTTCTGATATAGCTGCGTGCAGCTGGTAAGTCTGCTGTGGTGAAAGGGGAGGGGGGAGGGAAGGGGTATGAGGGTGCAGATCAACAACCCCCACATGATGAGGGAGGGAGTGGGGCTGGGGCTGAGGCAGGCGCTGCCCAGCTGGGAGAGGCAGGTGCAGGACGGAGCTGCAGCTCGTCCAGGGGATGTGGACAGCTCCAGCCGCTGCACACCGTTCATCCAGGAGCTGTTGTCTGGTGGCTTATCGGGCGGCTCCTGCCACTCGTCCAGGGCACAAGGAGGCATGTGCCCTGGATCTGCATGAGGCAGGCTGGAGCTGGGGACTGTGCTGCACTCAGGGTAGGTGGCAGCAGTGCTGGGAGGGGGCTACAGCAAAATCTGGGGCGGCTGCAGCCCCCCCCACTAGTAACCCTCCCGCCCAACACAGCCCCTGGACCCAGCCCACAGCTACAACTCCCCCCCCCCCCCCCACGCCCCCGGACAAGCTGTGGCTCCGTCCTGCACCTGCTCCCACCCGGCTGGGCAGCGCCTGCCCCAGCCCCACTCCCTCCCTCACCGTGAGGCACATTGATCTGCCCCCCCCACGCCCCTTCTCTCCCCGCTCCACTTTCACCACAACAAACTTACCAGCTGCACACAGCTCTCCAAGCTACCAGGCTATGCTCCTCGCTGCCTAAGTGCTGCACTGCAGCTACATGCACACATGGGCATTTATCAGCCAAATTATTGGCCACATCAGGCCGATTTCCAATTTAGTCAATTTTCTTTATATCAGTGCTGATCCAGTATTGGACTGATATATCAGTGCAACTCTAATTCCATTCACCATTATCCACCACAGCCAAAATCAAACACTGAGGTTTATTTTGGTTGCAATTCCTTTCTCCAGGTACTAGAGGCCTATAAACAAGGTTTCCAACCAGCTGTCGGTTATGAACTCAACCCCTGGCTATTGGGACTATCCAAGTATCGGGCCTGGAGGGCTGGGTATTACGGGAAGGTTTCCTACCAACGGGAAGATCTATGGAAGGTAACGTATTCTGGGACACAGGCAAGACTTCTGCTTTCTCAACGTGACACAAAATGCATTGGCTCCAAGATGACCTGGCTGGAGCAAAAAATTCAACATTTTCCTTCAAACACAAACTGAAGGAAGGGGCTGCATTCTTTTCCCAATTAGACCTGCTCCTTATGGATCAAGTACTAATTTCATCATCCAGTATTTCCTCACATGCTAGACACTCTCCTCAGTTCCTTAAGTAGCTGCAAGCATAGGTGAGACTTGGGGGGGGGGCACGTGCCCCCTCTGAGATTGGTGGCCGTCGCTGGATTCTGCAGGTGGTTGCTGCCCCCGCCTCACTGCCAACGCAGCCACCGATGGCTGTAGGCAGTCCCTGCTGCCCACCATGCCCCCCCTTGCTGCCAACACTGCCAGTGGCAGCTGCAGGCATTCCCCACTTGCCACCATAGTGTCCCCCAATTGTGGGAGGCACCAGTCATTCATGGCTGCAAGCACTTTAAACAAGGAGGAAAGCCACATTAGCCATCCTCTTCCATGACTAATGTTAAATTACTTCTCCAGGTTCCTCAGTGTTTATGGCTGAGATTATCCATGTCTTCCTCCTTCTCATAACCTTTCTTAACTCATAGCTGAGATGTTGCTGAAAAACTGAGGTGTGAAGCCCTTCATTAAATCCCACAGGAAGCCTGACAAAGGGCAAAGAAAGTTTTCCACTACTACAAAGTGTCTTGCACAACTATGTCCTCCATCCTTCACATATTCTTTGTCAGGGCCACACAAGGCCCAGCCCGTAGAGGTTCCTTTATTACTGATCTAACTGCTGCTCTGGACATGCACTGAGCCTCTCAAAGAACTATTAACAAAGCTGAACCTCTGTGGATATCTAGGACTAGCCTGGATGGTAGGGATAAGCTAGTTGGGTCACTCATTACTAAACTCTGGGGGGCCTAAGATTGTTACTAGTTACACATTACATTACCCCGTCTTGCCCAGCAACAGAGTTTTGTCAGCCTTTCCACTGCCCACACATATCCTGTCCCCAGTTCTGATTTTTGTTACCATTAATAATCTCTTGGGGCTTAACATCCTGTACATGGACTAGCAAAGATCTACCCCCTTTTACACACAGAGCTAAAAGCCCACTAGATCCCACTTCAACACACTGTCCCTTTCATGTTTCTCCTCTCATGCTGACTTTGTTTGTTTGAAGGTGAACCTGTCTGACTGCTACAATGTGACAGTGTTCCTGGCTCCCAGTGTGGTAAGTCTAAGCTTACTCCTGGGCTGCTGTAAGAGGCTTACTGACAGGCAAAATGGCTCCCATTTTCTTGCTTGGTTGGGCAAACCAGTGAGGGAGGATACTTCTGAGCAGAGACAATCTTGAGGCTGATAAAAAGCAAAGGCCCTTTAAAATAACAGATCAGTAACCAAAATACCACTGGATTATGTACATTTCAGCCTAAAACACCAAGCTGTAATGGGTGTCAACCATAGCAAGGCTACTGTGAACACATAATTGTGACAATCTGCTGCCACTGTACTCAGTGGGGGCTACCCTAACTAAGGGCCAGTTTCTACACATTCCTCTGCATGGGGGAAAACAGGTGCTATTTCTTTCTGAACTACCCTGGCTCTCTGCTACTGTGAGTGATGCACCTCTCCCTCCCCACCAGCAACCAATCCTCGCAACCAAGCTGCTTGCAGAACTCCCAGACGAGGCCTGTGTGGTGGCTGGACGCTTCCCCTTTGCTGCCTGGACACCAACCAGCATTGTTGGGGAGGGGCTGAACAGAATTTGGGCTTATGACATGAAGAGTGTGCGGCAGGCACAGCAGAACAACCCTGAGGGAGCCAAGCATAAGAACCAGAGCTAATGCAGAGCCTGGATGCCATAGAACAAAGGATCAGGAGGCTGTAGGAGTGAAAGTGCTACTTTGGCCTGCTGGTACTACTGTCTCACGGAAGCCCTGTGATGGATATATGCTGAATAGGGCCATGTGTGCACATAGGAATTTGTCACACACTAACCAGGGAGTGGGGGACTGCTTTCCCTCTTACCAGAATCGTGAGACTCAGTCTGGAAATCCCTGAAGAACTGTCACAGGATCCATGGTGATCATTGTTTGATTTCTGGTTTGAATAACTAATTTGTTTTGTTATTTTATTTGTAATTTGCTTTGTAACAATAAAAGTCCTGGTGCCACTTGCTCTGTCACCTCCATTCTGACTTCTGCTGGAGGCTGCTTCATCCACACCACAATCAGAGCAGTTCCCAGCAAGGCGGTCTCCGCTCCTGCCTCAGGCTGTACTGGGAATTCCCTTTGGGTGAGGCTCAAGGATGCAGTTCTTCCAGCTCTGGCTCTTCTTCTGATAATGGATTCCCTCTAGGTTCTTCTCATGCTAATCACCACTATAGACCAGTCACTCTCCACAGGGGCCACCATGCATGAATGCAAAGGAATTCAGTCTCCTCACTGCACAAAAAAATCTGAGCTCCTTGGCTGAGTCTAACCCTTCTAAGCCCAAAATCTAGTAAGAATCCTGCCTTTCCCTCAAGTTGAGAAAAGGTCCCTGTATCAGTGGGGTCTCAGAGGAATGGAGTAGTATTACAGCACCCTGCTGCATTGCTAAAGCAAGGGAAAGCAAACCTCTAACTCCAGGGCAGAATGAAGGGTTTGCTTTTCAGCCCTATCTTCTGCCCCAGTCCAAAGGAACAGCACCAGTGCTTTTCTGGTGCTCAGCACTCCCACAAGTAGCTAATGCTTGTGGGTTGGTAAAGGGAGAGAAGTGGGACAGAACGAAGCACGGAGGGAGTAAACACATAGAGCTTCAATATGATTTTAGTCGTCTCAATTCAGTTTCCTTCTCAGCAAATCCTAGCCCTACCCAAGAGGTCCCCACAAGGAAGACCATAAGTCCAAGCACATTACCTCTGGATGTAGCCCCACAAACAAGACCAACAGAAAGGCACTGTTTAAAATCCTTGTCTCGCCTGTGAAAACCTAATGGCCCCTGTCTTGCAGAGCCCCAGCAAACAGCTACAGTTCATGGCTGATGGTCTTTTGGGGTCTCTGCATTAAAGGAACATCAGAAGCCCCAGCACTGAATGCTCGTGGTGCATCATTCCCCAGGAGTTTCCTTAACCTCAGAATCTCCTGCTTGTACCTGCAATGGGGGCAAAGAAAAAGTGCCATCAATTCCAGCTCAGCTCTGGGCACAGCCCTACTGGGGACCAGTGGATTTTAAAGCCAACGTGAGACACCCTCAAGTTCCCAAGCAGTAACCAAGGAGAGGAAACAGCTCAGGACATGTGGCAATTCTAGATTTGACCCAACCCTTCACATGAACTGATGCTTTCAAACAATGAAGCAGTTCCATCAGCAACAAGACCTGATGTCTGGGCCACATGCAAGGCAGGATGACTTGTCTGAATCAGGTCCTGCATTTTTAATTGTCAATGCTTGTGAAAACACCCCCTTGGGGTAATGAGTCAGTGGGTGCTAGATAACATATATGATCCTGTGCAAGCAGGGAACGCTTCTGGATGCTTGGCTGACTCACCCCCTCCTTCATCTGCACAGCCTTCCTCATCACCAGGGTAGGATGCACTATACAGGGAAAGGAAATATCACATCCCTGGAAGGGACAGATGCCAACTGCCTCATCATGCTGAGCTACTGATAGAGCCAGATGCTTGCACAGCTGGATTCTCTCTCCAACATTAGCTGAGCTGGGCTACACTGTGGGAGGCAGCAGTTAGGTCAGGCATCTCACAGCAGTGGGTACCATGGTGCTCTCGGTTTTTTAGCCCTGAAGATAAACCACATATAGGAAACAAGGGCACATGAACAGATCCCTCCACCTCACCTTGCAAGATGCTTATCCACATACTCCTGAAGTTCCAGCACCTGTTCTTCCGCCACAATTGCCCGAGTAAGCAGCTGGCTTCTCTCTTTCTCCAGTTCTTCCTGGGCAGGCAGAAATAACAGGGAGAAAACGTGTGTGTGTGTGTGTGTGTGTGTGTGTGTGTGTGTGTGTGTGTGTGTGTGTGTGTGTGTGTGTGTGTGTGTGTGTGTGTGTGTGTGTGACAGCACCCTGCTGCATTGCTAAAGCAAGGGAAAGCAAACCTCTAACTCCAGGGCAGAATGAAGGGTTTGCTTTTCAGCCCTATCTTCTGCCCCAGTCCAAAGGAACAGCACCAGTGCTTTTCTGGTGCTCAGCACTCCCACAAGTAGCTAATGCTTGTGGGTTGGTAAAGGGAGAGAAGTGGGACAGAACGAAGCACGGAGGGAGTAAACACATAGAGCTTCAATATGATTTTAGTCGTCTCAATTCAGTTTCCTTCTCAGCAAATCCTAGCCCTACCCAAGAGGTCCCCACAAGGAAGACCATAAGTCCAAGCACATTACCTCTGGATGTAGCCCCACAAACAAGACCAACAGAAAGGCACTGTTTAAAATCCTTGTCTCGCCTGTGAAAACCTAATGGCCCCTGTCTTGCAGAGCCCCAGCAAACAGCTACAGTTCATGGCTGATGGTCTTTTGGGGTCTCTGCATTAAAGGAACATCAGAAGCCCCAGCACTGAATGCTCGTGGTGCATCATTCCCCAGGAGTTTCCTTAACCTCAGAATCTCCTGCTTGTACCTGCAATGGGGGCAAAGAAAAAGTGCCATCAATTCCAGCTCAGCTCTGGGCACAGCCCTACTGGGGACCAGTGGATTTTAAAGCCAACGTGAGACACCCTCAAGTTCCCAAGCAGTAACCAAGGAGAGGAAACAGCTCAGGACATGTGGCAATTCTAGATTTGACCCAACCCTTCACATGAACTGATGCTTTCAAACAATGAAGCAGTTCCATCAGCAACAAGACCTGATGTCTGGGCCACATGCAAGGCAGGATGACTTGTCTGAATCAGGTCCTGCATTTTTAATTGTCAATGCTTGTGAAAACACCCCCTTGGGGTAATGAGTCAGTGGGTGCTAGATAACATATATGATCCTGTGCAAGCAGGGAACGCTTCTGGATGCTTGGCTGACTCACCCCCTCCTTCATCTGCACAGCCTTCCTCATCACCAGGGTAGGATGCACTATACAGGGAAAGGAAATATCACATCCCTGGAAGGGACAGATGCCAACTGCCTCATCATGCTGAGCTACTGATAGAGCCAGATGCTTGCACAGCTGGATTCTCTCTCCAACATTAGCTGAGCTGGGCTACACTGTGGGAGGCAGCAGTTAGGTCAGGCATCTCACAGCAGTGGGTACCATGGTGCTCTCGGTTTTTTAGCCCTGAAGATAAACCACATATAGGAAACAAGGGCACATGAACAGATCCCTCCACCTCACCTTGCAAGATGCTTATCCACATACTCCTGAAGTTCCAGCACCTGTTCTTCCGCCACAATTGCCCGAGTAAGCAGCTGGCTTCTCTCTTTCTCCAGTTCTTCCTGGGCAGGCAGAAATAACAGGGAGAAAACGTGTGTGTGTGTGTGTGTGTGTGTGTGTGTGCGGGGCAGTGATCAAGGGGTGCAGTGGGGAAAGCACTGGCCTGGGGTTCATGCACTTCCCCATGATCATGATAGCAAGGGCTACTCAATCTCTCATGCATTTATCCCCCAGGCTGAAAACTTCTTAGCCTTAACCTAAGTAAGCTGCCCACTTTCACTGTAGGGCAGAACAACATCCACACACCCAAATAAAAAAAAATCAAATCACATGAACCCAGAGCTAAGGAAAACTGGGACTTCCTGCTGGTGCAGCTAGCCTGGAGACCCTCAGCTGCACTGAGATAGCCAAAGAGGGAAGACACTGAAAACAAAACCTTCTCTTTGGATAAACAGCCTCAGAATACATGGTGGGGCTGTGTTTTGTGTCATATGCACCCAAGTGAGTGTGTCCTATCATGTACACCCCTGACCCACAACCTACTCTTCCCAGGAGAGAAGTGGGGCAAATGATAGTGTGGTTTCCAGAATCAGAGCACTGGAATGTACATAGCCAGATGTCACACCCTCCCCTTGCAACAAAGGTTGCAGTTTCTAGAGAGATCTTTCCTTTTCGATGATGACAATCCCTAGCTCTCATGCACCAATTTTCCACGGCTGATCTCAAAACACCCTACAAAAGAGGTCTCCATCCCCATTTCACAGAAAGGGAAACTGAGGTATCAGGACTTACCTAAGGGTCACCCAGCAAACCAGGGGACAAACCAATCCAGTGCTCCATCCAACAGGGAACACTGCCCCTGCCCCCATGCTTCAGGCCTTGACTATACTGAATAGTTAACTAAACATGTGACCATAGTCTGTTACAGTGAGATCTCTCCTGACTGGGATAGGAAGAAAAAAAAACACAGCCACAAAGCATGTTGTTGAGATTTGGTGTGTCTAATTTACACAAGGCAACTTAAACCATTAATGAAAATTCATTTAGCAGGGGCTCCCCTTAACCACAAGTGGCAGTGATCAAAGAGTCTGCATTAACCAGGCAACAACATTTTGGAA